GTAAGAAATATCTTTAAATTTCATTTAAAAAAAATTGTTTTAAAAATAAATTTTTAAATGCTTAAATATATATAGGCTATATTAAATTACCCAATAATAAACGGTTAAAGAAAATATTTTTTAATGTTTACGTAAATAAATGTATTATTTAAATTTTATTTTTGAAATAATAAAATTAAATACTTACTAAATCCGAAAATTAATTTATTATAAAATAATTGAATTTTATTTATTTTTTTAAATTTCAAAAACAATTTAATTTAAAAAGAAGCAAGTTATTGTGATAAGTAAAAATTTTGACAATAAGAAAGAGGGGGGTTAGTGTCTGATAATGTCATGTGATATGTTTCCCATGGCAACCCTCTGGAAAGAAAATTTTTTTTTATTTTTTTTTGGCTAGAAATCGCATGTTTCCTATTCCTTTTCGATATTGCTACTGCAGAAACCTTTCTGCACCATACAACAGTATATCAGAGAATATACAGAGCCTGAGGGGTTTTCAACAACAACGTTGAAGACATCTTTGTATTTTTCTTAACATATTTCAAAATCACTTCACTCGATACAATTCTTAATAACTTTAAATTACTATTTGTAAATTCTTTAAAAAATATTTTTAAAAAAATAAATAAAAAATTGTTTTTCTTCTTTACACAAATCCTTTCTATCCATTCCAATGTTAATTTTCATGATAACTGGTCAATTTTCTTAGTGTTTAGTAGGAAATTTATGCTTTAATTAAACGTGTTCTATAGAATATTTTATTTTAAATATTTTAATATATAAAATTCTAATGGAATTAAGTAAAAAAAAAACAATTTTTATAGAAGAATCTTCAGTTTCTGGGATTCAAAACTAATCTCACAAAAACTGTTAAAATCTGAAGGGAAAAAAGAAATTTGTAGGATTGAAAATAGAATTTTATCGACTGTATCATACGGTGACACATCTTTAAATCTAATCAAAATTTTGAATAGTTTACAATTTTATAGAATATATTTTTTTCTTATTTTTGTACAAGAAAAGGTGCTTTCTCTTTACATTTCAGTTGCAAGAATAAAGAAAAAAGAGAATACAAGAAAATTTATTGATTTTTGTGAAACTTTCTTCCCCTACTAACTCTATAACCCTTAGTTAATACTTTAAGACACAGCGTCATCATACAAGTTCGATAAAGAAAGGATTAGAACATGAAGACTGAAGATACAACTCGATTGAAGTTTAAAGTCAGGAGTAGAAAGAAAAGACAAAAGTAGAAAATAGATAAATAAATAATAATAAAATTCCTATTCTATACTCATCTTTACAACTTGTTATGATATTTAACTCATTAAATAAGTAAAAAGATGCAATTTTTAATCATATTTGAAATTTATTTAATTTGAAATATATGCTCTCGATCTCAAATTAGTAGAGTCTTTCCCCTGTAAATCACGCTTTTCCTGATAGCAGGAGAGTCGTGCCGGTTATCTATGTAACTCAATTCTAGGGAAAATTTTTGAATTGAAATCACGCGAGTTCCGGTCTAGACCGGAAGTTCGTATATAGTAATCGGATCCTCCTAAGGTTTCCATATCTTCATCTATCTAACTCTGTTCTCGAGATTAACGTAGGACAGACAAACAGATGAGCGACAGTGGGAATTTATACAGTAGTGGCCAAAAGTAGAGCTACCAAAGGAAGTATGCAGATTTGTTCAGTATTTTTTAGAACAAAATATTAGTATTTTGTGGCGTAACCAGGGCTTCTGATCACTGCATCACATCTACGTTCCATTGAATCAACTGCGTTGTCAAGCAGTGATTTGGGAGTTTCATACCATGCTTTTTGAATGGTAGACCCCAATTCATCCGGATTCGAATATGTAAGCTGTCGTATACGGCGCTCAATTTCATCCCAAATATTCTCTATGGGGTTTAGGTCTGGTGATTGGGTTGGCCATATCATAAGATTCACTATTCTTATTCACTGCTTTACCAAATTTGCTATGTGTTTTAAGTTTGTTGTCTTGTCGGAAGATCCATTTCCTTGGCATTTGATTCTGCAATATGTCCTGATAAACTGTTTGATCCATTATTCCATTAATTCTATGAATTGGACCAATCCCCTTTTGCAGAGAAACATTCCCATACCAATATGCAGCCACCACCATGCTTTATT